GTGTGTGTGTGTGGAGAGGTCATCCTCTCCAATGGGGGGGTTTGAGGACAATTTATAGGCAAAAGCTTATAATTCGGCCCCGGGTTGAATGCTCATCCATTGTACAAATTTGTCCATTGGATTTGTTAAGGAAATTATTGTAAGGAATATTAAATTCATGTTAAAATATTCACTCTAACACACGCTACTTCTTGAGCTTTTTATTTATCAATTTATTATAATAATATTTTGAATTTTTTTTTTAATATTACAATAGTAATAAAAAATTAACACAATTTTTTTTCAACATAATACGCGTCTTCATTTAACAAATTTATTTATAATAGAAAAAAAAATACAAATTTATTTTCAATGACCTACGTTATAAATTAATAATTCTCTTAAATTTTAGTTAATGTTTTAGTCAATTTGTAATATTTTAGTAAATACTTGTACTATTTATATTTATTAATTTCTTAATGATAGTAATTTAAATAATTAAATATGTGTAAAACAGTGTATCTATTAGATTACATTTGTGATATTAAAATGAAATATGTGTAAAATAATATATCTAATTAAATTTTTATTTTTTATGTTAAAATAATGATAATAAAAAGAAAGTATATTGTCGAGTAAAATGTAGCGCGAACGAATGGAGACGAAACTTGATTTTTGCTTCACTCTACTTTAGAGTAGAGTAAACTCTGCATTATAATAGATAAGAGTTGGAGATGACCTAAAATATTAAGTCTCATTACAGTCAGTCTAACCACTAGGCTGACATACGTTTCTCATGAATATGCATATATTTTTTTGTTAGAAAATGACATAATCGGTAGTATGACATTAAATAGTATAAGTATGCATTTTTTGTTCACATCATATGACAGGTCGACCCGTTTAACTGTTCGATTTCCTCGTGTAGCACCATATATCACATTTAACACAAATAATTTATGACATTTATATAAGTAGTCAATTACACTAACATTTACTACATTTGTTTAGCATTTCTTTCCATCCTTAATCTATAGAATTCGACTAATTTCACTTTTTCCACCATGTCAATATACCGCCACTATAGTGTTTGTTATGTCAGTTTCCCGAACTAACAAGTCGTACTTGAAATTAAAGGTTGTTCATATATTTGAAGAAAAACTCAAATCCAAGTGTAAAATTGTACTAGAAATAAATCCCATGATGAAGAGGTAAATATTTTTTTTTTTTTTTTTTTTTGTCATTTCTTGTTTATTACTATCGAATCCATACGCTAAAATTATTAGTTTGTGGCGACGATAACTCGCCACCAACTCAAACAAAAAATGTTGTCTACAAGGAACTATTCAATAATTTATGAACTTTTTAATTTGTCCGACCTATTTACATTTGTTACATATATACCAAGTCTATTAAATTTAATAATCAATATTAAAAAGAAAATAGAAAACGTATCATCTTCTGCATCTCACGGGCCACGACTAAGTAAAATTATGAAAGAATGGGGGTTGGGGTGGGGTTTAATTACAGTGTAAATTTGTCCTAACACAAATAATTGTGGGCTGCATGATTTTTATGGCCATGGGTTTCCACTCCATGAATTACGACAATCCTCGGCACGGTATTTAATGTGTGTTTGGGTGAATGGGATAAAGTATTAGATGTCTCTATATTTTATTAACTTATTTATAACAATATAAATATAAAACTTTTGAGATTTGAATAATGTCCTATGATTTTTTTTTTTAAAATTTTTACTAGATTTTGCTGATTTTTTTTTAAAAAAAATTTAAGTCCATATGTGGAATTAGAGTTAGGGTGTATTTTATTTTTGAAATCTTAAATGAATACCTTCAAACTATTAAAAAGTTCACAATTCTTAAATTTAAAAAAAAAATAAAAAATAATCGAATGAATTCACTTCAGTGTCAAATTCTAATGTTTCATAATCTTGTACGTATGTCATTTTTTTGTGCTTGCGAGAAAATTATGTCAATTTTATGTTTCGAATTAGCTTATATCGATCCTGATTTTTTATTCATTCCTATTAGAGATTTTAAAATTATAAAAGATTTAATCAATTTAAGTTTATATGTGTATATAAAATTTCAACAACTTTTTAGCTGAAAAATCTACCTAAAAATTCTCAAAATTAAAAGTAAAATTGAGTGAATTTAAAGGTTAATTGTCATTTTTGGGCAAATAAGCCTATTAACTTTTGCTGATGCACGCAATAATTCCTATTGGCACCTTGTGTTTTATTATGTGCATATATGTTTAGTAAGAAACGGATAAAATTGGGTGCGGTTCAACGCTCGTAAAGCATATCATAATATGTGAATTTAGATGACGCTTAAGTGACGTTTTATCTAAAAAAACGGATGGATAGAGGAATAGTCCACTTGATTTCTAAATTATATTTATTTTTTATATATAATTAATGTGGGACAACTCACAAGTGATATTATATTATAATATAGTTTTATAATTTAGAAAAGAAAATGAATTAAAGATTCTTTAAAAATTTGCATAGAAAGATGCTTTGCGTTTTCGTAAATGGTTTAATTCTATTTAAATTATTTATTAGTATTTTTTTCTGTATCGATCAGAATTTAAATTATTTTATTTACTTTGTAAGGAATTAGTCCAATAATCCTGATTTTCATAAAGTTTTGGATTTGAAGTGCTACACTGAAGTAAAGGTCTCACTTGGTTCCAAAATTTTTGTCATATGTGTCAAATAGCTAGACGGTCACATTTTTCGTAATTTAAGATGTATGATCACATTTTATAATATAAAACATGCATTTTACTAAAAAAAAAAAGAAAAAGAAAAAAAAAAGCAAATCAACCATCTAACAAGTAACAATTGAGTAAGAATTTGTGGTTTATTTTTCATAAATGTGTATTTTTCACATTTATATATGAAACTTTATTTTATTATAAATATAACTGATTAACTTCAATGTTTAAAAATGGTTGATTTATGGTTTACGTTCGCAAAGGAGACCTAAATTGCATTACTTAATGGTTTATAAATAGCTTATAGATGATTTTATTTTTAATGTCGTACAAAAGTTTTCATAAAGTATAGTAAATAATATATAAGTATCATTATTCTTTTTGATGGATATGTATTGCCCCTTGTCATCACCCTCACATTTGAGTCATAAGAATTACTAGGTACACTATAAAAAAAACTCCTACATTCCAACGAAAATTTTTTGTTGGGATTTTTTATATTTCCGTTGGAATAGCTATTCTAACGGATATTTTTTATATAAAAATCCGTTGGAAACCGGAAGGTCCCTGTACAAAAAAAAAAAAAAAAAAAAA